AAGCCCAGTGGAGACTCCGGGGGCGAGTCAACAGAGTGCGATTCAGCGTTTCACAAGCTCACAGGGAAGCATGGGAAGGGCCCAAGCCACGCCATCGCCAGTTCGATCAATGAGAACTCCCCGTGCTGCAACCAGTCTCTCTTCGATGTCGACGCCAGCCCCTGGTGAGCTAGAAACCCCTGCTGCGGAGATCTCTGACGATGAACTTTTCGTCCAACAAGCCGCTCAGGAGGAGGCTGAGCCAACGCCTATCCCCCACGAACCCTCATCCCAACCATCAGCTCCTGACGAAACTCCATCTCGCACTCATGGAGACCCAGAAGAAAGCCCCAACATTGTCCAAAATGCCTTCCATAGAATGCGTCCACGACGAGAACCCGCTGAACTGGCCACCATCACTATTGGCAACCGAACTGTGACTTCCATGATCGGTAGTGGTCCTCCACGAAAACGATTTTCAGAAGATCCACCTCTAATGAAAGAGCCACCCCGGCGGAAGAGACGGATACACACACCATCACGTCCTAATATCTTTGGTGAACACATGAAAGCGTTTGCTGCGCCTGGGTCGCAGCTGGATGACGAAGAAGACGAAGAAGACGAAGAGGCCTCTGCTAGTGAAGATGACCAGATTGAAGAAGATGAAAATAACCTTTCAAGTGAGATCGAGGAGACACAAGGCACGGATCAAGAGCCCGAAGCTGAGGGCTCTCCTCCGCCTGAGGATGGCGACTATGTTCCAGAACAAGGTGCAGCCAAATCAGAAATCGAAAACAAAGAGGCAAAAGACAAATACACTGCTACAGATGACAATCTCGACGAAGCCGAGAAGAAGGCACAGGAAGAAGCTAAAGTACAACGGCTCATTCATGAAGCCGAGGAGACTGCTGTGCTTGCCCAAGAACATAGTGCAAACCGTGCAAAGAAGATGAACAAGGGCGCTGCGCATCGCGATGCGACTATACAGCTTGTTGGCACGGTAGACGGGTCTATTTCACGTCTCCAGTCTCAACTCATAACATTGCAGAAGACCCTGCAAGCAGGCACCAAGAAAACGACAGAGGAAGCCACTGATCTTGGCGAGAAAACCGCCGAGGACAAACTTTCCTTGACTGTAAGCAAGAACGACTTCGCTCAAATGCGCATCATCGGCCAGTTCAACTTGGGCTTCATCATCGCAGTCCGTCCAGGAGAAGACCACGATGAGCTCTTCATCATCGACCAACATGCCTCCGATGAGAAATTCAACTTCGAGCGCCTGCAAGCTGAAACTGTGGTGCAAAACCAGCGACTCGTCCGTCCGCAACGTCTTGATCTGACTGCTGTTGAAGAAGAGGTTGTCCTTGAGAATCGCGCCGCGCTTGAGAAAAACGGTTTCCTCGTGACTGTCGACGAAAGCGGTGATGAGCCTATCGGCCGTCGATGTCAACTGGTCTCGTTACCGCTGAGCAAGGAGGTAGTATTCGGCGTACGAGATCTGGAGGAACTGATCGTGTTGCTGTCAGAGTCAGTTTCATCGTCAGATGGACTATCAGTACCACGGCCAAGCAAAGTGCGCAAAATGTTTGCTATGCGCGCTTGTCGCTCAAGTATCATGATCGGAAAGACCTTGACGAACCGCCAGATGGAACGAGTCGTTCAGAACATGGGTACTATCGACAAACCTTGGAATTGCCCCCATGGTCGGCCCACCATGCGGCACTTGATGAGTCTGGGCCAGTGGGATGAATGGACCGAATTTGAGGAAACCGAAGGACTCGACCCTTGGAAACAATACTTGGAAGGAGATGAAGACGAAGAATAGTCCATAACGATACCCTGTGCGTGATATAGATGTATAACAACAAATTAAATGAAAGACATGAAACATCACCACCATCGCAACCACCCTTTCGGCGGCTGATCCACTTTCTTCCCGTTAGCATCGATCTCAACATGCCCATTTGCATTTCCATTCTCAACACCCCCATTCAGTTCCGTATCACTACCATCCTCACTCCCATGCTCCCCACCCTTCTCAACATTATCCATCATATCCTCCAAAGCCAGCAAATCACGTTCAATCATCTCCGCCCAATTCTGCACATCCCCGATCTCCTTTAATCCCTCGCGCGTCTCATCTGCGAGTCCAACCCACTGCTGATTTTGCCGCGCCAGTCGCTGCGTATTCTCCGCTAGCTCAGCTTCTTGTCTTTCCAGCGCCGCCGCGTTGGATTGTATGTTTGCTGCGCGATCGCGGAGCGGCGCTTCGAGGTTTGTTCCCACTGAGTGGAGTGTTGCAGTAAAGGCTGCTAGCGCTTCTTTTTGTCGTTGGTCATCTGTTGTGTTTTCGTCTGGATTTGGGTTCAGTTGCGGGGGGTTGTCCATGATTCTGGACTTTCCAATTTATCTTTGGAGAGATGCAGATAAGCTAGGTATAGGTCTCTTTGTATTTGTGGACTGGTTACTGATATTGTAAAAAGATCGACCCCACCCGGCACATGTCATATCCGTTCCCCGCGATGGACGCTTGATTGTGTCTGACCGCACATGTAACGTCCACCTTCTGGTTAGGGTATTTCGGGAAAATAGACATCAGAAATATACCATATTTATTGTCTTGAGCCAATATGGAACTAGAGAGGACCTCGCGATGCACAAAAACATGGTGGGCTACTTTTGTTATATATGTGTAAGATTACCTCTGCAGGCCTAGATGGTTCAAGAGGCTCCGAAGACTGGCCAGAGAAATGAGGAATCAATCCTAGATGATACAAAGTCACTAGTTAATGGAACGAATCAATGGGATGGATATAAATTGCTAATCACTGAATGTCCCCTATTGATATTGATAGGTAGAAATCCGTTTCACCTCTCCTTGGCCACGAGTTCATCCGTTGGATCGTGTCCCGAGACTTGTGCGTTTCGCTGGGGATGGAACCAGGAGAAAAGTTTCTAGATACCCAATATCTATTGGATCAAACAGATGGGTTGGACGGTATAATTCTGTACCCTATGTAATACCAACCCCGTCCATACCTAGCGCCCCTTCAACGTCCTGTTCGATTATTATCCCGAAGGGGATAGAATAGCTCGGGCCAAGATGTTGTGTGCACTAGTGATTACAATAGCTCGAGAGAGAGATTTGTATTTCTGTCATTCCTATCATCGAGCTCTGTGATCTGAATGGTCAGCTCAGGTACCCTGGGAAGTCACCTTGTACCCTATCCGAATTAGGCTTAGTAGAATCCCCATTGTTCCCAATTGGGAATAGTAGCATGTCGTTTCTTTGTTCTCAAATCCACGTGGAAACGCGTCTCAGGAGTCGCACCTTCCTCGCTTGAGCTATCACCTCAGGTCCCCCATATAAAAGGGCCCCCCCAGAGGGTTCTCAAATTTCCTCCCGTCAACCACCTCTATCACAAGCTTCCCGGATCTGATCTGGCACGGCTTCCCTGACTGGAGTGGTACAGGTGAGCACTCTCAAATATTATATGTCCTTGAACTCTTCTGACAATCGTCAGCCTTAGTAGACGTGCCGGGGACTCTGCGGAGTCCCCTAAATATCGAACAGACTGGGTACATGATCTTTATTTAACCCTCAAGCTTATGACATGTCTGACTTATACTTTCTGATTAGATCCTTCGTTGGAAAACCGAGATCGGGGCCCCCGTAAGCCTCGACGATATGGTTGTATGTTCTCCTGCCAGTCACAATATTTTCTCCCATCACTGACTTTTCACCTCTCAGAACCTTCGTTGGATGGCGGCAAAGCGTACCTGCACTGAGCATGGACTCTGTCCTGTCAGTCTTAGTGATGTCGGGGTAAGTTCTCCAGCCAGTGGCACGTTTTTATCATTTCTAACCATATTCCTCTTCCCTTAGAAACTTTGTCACCAACGCCCGGACTAAGTCGGCTCTCTCTTCGGAGGTACGTTGTGCTGTAAATCTTGGGGAGGCAGATGGGATCCAAGGCCCATCAATCTACGAAGGGGGGAAAGCCCGATCAAATGGATACACGTAGCAATACGAGTTGCCATTTCGTTTGTCGCGGCATCCAGGACGCAAGTCCAGGTACGTTTGTCCCCACCTGTAGTTTTCATCATTCCTAACCTGTGGTCTTCATCAGAACCTTCGTGGGAAGACCTAAAGTCAGACAGGGTTTGCACAACCCCAGTCTCGGCGGGTCCGGCTAAATTCCAGGTGAGTCTCTCCGACCAGTCTGTTCGTTTTCGTTGCTAACTTGAGGTTGTTTCTGATCAGTGCATTCAGCGGAGTTTTGGGAATTACACAGTCACTGTGTGATGCCTTTGGCATTGGCCATGCAACCCCGCTTTTTCTCCGAAAAAAGCGAAGAAACAAGTTGGAGCTCTAAACCTTATGGTTTACTTGTTTGGCCTTCGGGGGCCTTTTACGTGGGCTGTGGGCTTTCAGGTCAATCAGAGAACTACTGTTCTCTTGCATGGGTACATGATCCGCAGAGAACATACTTTTGGATCAGTACACATAGCAGGGCCACATAACAAAATATCCATTACATCTCTGATCGGAGTGGGCTGAATATACTGTGGATTATTCGCCTGCTATGCTCTTGATCATTGATGTGCCTGGAAACATTTCATCCCAATCAAACAAGATTGGCCGTAGTTTTATTAGTATCTAGCTTTGAATTCAAGAGACCTTTGCTCTTGCAAGTATGGCATCTGAGCCACAATACCTTCTGGTTCTATAACTTCTTCCTTTATTATGCTTCTATATAAATGAGTAACCTGTAAATACACAGACACTCTTATCAGGTTGATATAACAGTTGAAGTATATATTGTTCCAAGTATGAGGAAGATCTGAGCGGTATCTTAGGAGCCAATACAGAAGTCCCAGTGGTTACTACGAAGAATAAAGAGAAGAGGCACTTGTGTGAAATCTAAATCTAAATCTAAATTCTAATAAATTCTAAGAACATGTAGACATAAAGCGGAGACAGAAAGAACCCCGAGGACGTAGTTTATAAAACTGCAGTCTTATACCTCGATGTGTGCAGTCTCACCCATTGGCTTTTCACTGCTCTCGTTGTTCAAAGTTCGGTGGTGCCCAGGGTGGACGGGATAACCTCTTGTTTCCCAAACACCTCCAGTGATTCCACCTCTCGAGAAGAGGTGATCAACATCCTCCAGTTCCAAGCCCTTGGTCTCGGGGAAGAAGAAGAAGACCATTGGAATCTTGGTTGAGTCAGTATTATAAAACTCAAAAATAACGTTCGGGACCGGGGTCATACCCAGGCAAAACAGAAGCAGGCAAAGATAATAAATGTTTTCCATCCAATATTATCAATTGCCGTTGGTGTAATTTGGACGACAATGACTGCGAGGGTTAGCGAAATCACATACTTCCCTATGGGGACCAGTCAACTTACAAACACAAATCCAATTGACGAAGCCACCAAAAGCTTGAGCTCTAGCTCGGATACGAGTAGTCGAGATTTCAGAAGGATAGAACCTGTTCATTGTTAGCAGCGGCACACAACACAGCCAAGATAAGGAAAACCAACCAGGGGACTGGCAGATAACCAATGCCAAGGAACAATTGGAAGATAAACACAAACACAGTAGCTGCATATGCACATGACTCGGTGCCAATCGATAATAGAATAGCAGTCATCACGAAACAGAAACAGAGACCAGCGGCGGAGACCATGAGTGACACTCGTCGGCCGAATTTATCCATACTCCACAGGGGGATAACAGAGCCAACAAGGTATGCGAGAGAGGTGCAGCCGCCGAGAACCAAGGATAGGTTGCGAGAGAGATTCATAGCATTCTGTTTTGGAGTTGCTTTTAGTTGACTTGTTTAACTGGAGATAGAAATAAGAGCGTACCTGGTAGACAACGGGGGCGTAGTAGTTGATCATGTTAGAGCCTGAGACGAGTCAATATGTCAATCCCCTATAGCACCTGAACTGGTCTTGCTCACCTGTAAACTGCTGCTGAATATTGATAACAGCAGCCAAAATCATGCGTCGCAGATTTCCCATCGGACCACCCGACCAGAGCTCCTTGTACTTGAAAGGTCCGCCAGCAGACTCGATCTCGATAGAAGATACAATTTGATGACGTAGAAGAACAACCTCAGGATCTGACTCATCAGCAGGCTGATCCAGTTGTAGGCGTGCCAGGACCGACGCAGCCTCGTCACTGCGATCTTGTTCACAGAGCCAGCGTGGGGAATCAGGGAGGGGAATCATCTGCAAAACCAAGCAGATGGCAAAGAAAGCTTGGAAACTGATTGGGAATCGCCACTGAACGGGTGTGTCCACAAAGCTCAGCCCATAGTCCAACCAGTATGCGATGCAGAGACCGAGAATTGTAACAGTGCCTTGGGCAGAGAGCAACATACCACGCTGCTCTGGGCGCGCTAACTCGGATTGGTATGCTGGAACGGTACTGCTGTTGATTCCATTGCCAAGGCCAGTGACAATTCGGCCAACGAGGAATTGAGGAACGGTATAGGAACTGCCGAGGATGATTGTTCCTATGATCATGATTGAACCACCCGCAATAATCATCTTGCGTCGACCGTATTTGTGACCAATGACGAGACTGAGGAGGCAGCCTACTGCACAGCCGATATCGTAGATGGAAGTAAGGAGACCCTGCATCGTGCTATCGGGATTGTTGAATGTTTGTCCGAATTGATTGTTCGCGCCAATCAGGCCGCTCATCACACCCTGATCATATCCCAAGAGAAGAAAGGCTTGACAGCTTGCAGCCGTCACAGCCCAGTGAAGGTATTTTCCGCGCAGGACCATAATGTGCTTAGATCGACGGGGAAACTGGAGAGAAGTTGGGATCCGGGGCCCCAGGTCTTTTTCTCCGTATCAACCATTTCAACCCCATAGCATGTCGGTTTACTCTTGCCCGAAAAGCCTTGGCTTTTCGGTTTAATACACCCCGGGGGCCACTAGTAATGTTCACCCGTGGCACGAAACAGGACTAGCGCAATGTTCCCCGCGGGGACTTCCCCACATTGACGAGTCCCTGGATTTGATTGCAGCCAAACCCTGGAAGCGTCCCGGAAGGCTGAACAGGGGGTTTGACCCTTGGAAAAGCCCCATCAACGCCCCTGGGTTGTAGAGATTCGGAGCCGTTAACACGGCCTCTGGGTCTTCAGCTCTGCTCAGCTCTGCTGGGAAAACCCATTGGCAGTGCGTCTTTTAGAACAGCTTACATCACAGTGTAATGGTACGTAAATTTAGTGCAAGTAGCCAGCCGCCTCAGTGGATCAGGTGTATACGCTTGGAAGAAACCGAGATTTATTACACTTAATTTATGCCGGATAAATAGCAGAGCTAGCCAGAAGGATAGGTATGCCTAAGCCTTTTTTTACTGATCTTCAGTGCCGCAAATCTTTGCCATTTGACACTCAATGATGGGGCAGTTTCCTAATTGAGATGTAGAAGAAAGGGCTACCCTGCCGAAGATGTGGGTCTTACCACTAGCGGTAGTCCTTGTCAAGCTAAAAAGACCAAGGAGACAGTTCAGGTTGTCGGTTTTAACATTTCTTAGCATTCTTTTTGATATATAAACTAGCTCGACAGGTTGGCATATTAGCAATCAGCTTAGGACCCAGGTTACAAGTTTTAGTTCAGAAATTAAGCGAAATTCCAAGACCTGAGATATTTGTGAGTACTCTGAAGCAAGCTCTTGTCCTAGGAACTAATCTATTACTACTAAAAACAATACTACGAAGAATTCTAGCGCATTTAAATATCTTTCCGAGCGAATAAATTGGCATATATCTAAAGATCTGAGTATTCGTCCACAGCCTCGATCTGGCGAGAAATCCAAAACCGATCGGAATGTAGACGCATGAGATTATCCTTAAGCATAATCAACTGGTCCTGAAGGTTGTGGGTCTTCTCTAAAAATGCACCATTGTGCCCGTAATAGCCACTTCCATAAAGCACAGTACGGCATCTCGGCATCTCCCTACACATAGTGGCACTAGCCCGTTCAACGACACGTACTTCGTCAATAAGGTCGGTGAGGTTGTCAACTGCCAGTGCCAGACGGAGAGGTGAAATTCCCTTGAGACTCATAATAGCATCAATCTCGAGCTGTAGCTCAGCTTTGAACCGATTGCGTGTGCGCAGAAACCGGAGCTCGGGGTTTCCTGTCCGGGAAAACATAGTTCTAAATCGGAAAACTACAACAAACCTGAGAGGGGGGTGGGGAGGAGATTCTGTCAGGTTAGCTGATAGTATTAGTGAGGATGTAGTTGTTTGGAGAAGAAGGTGGGATCGAGTCTATTTATACGATTTCCGTCGAGCGAAGCATTATTATATGAACCAACGGAGAATAATGCCATGAAAGAAACAATGCGAGTCACAAAGACCTCAATTGTTTTCTCCGCCTCTTTCAGGGGGCCGTTCATTCTTTGTGGTTTGAACAGGGATACCTAGACCCATAGACTTGATAACGAATTAGTAATGACAACTGTACCACTGGAGCCAAATCAGTGAAAGGAATTGTCTAATTCTTTGGTATACCGTAGTGCGCTAGATACTTACGGGAACATTTATATAATTCCACAGGATTGTTGTATGGATGGGTGTATGTAGCTTCAGCAAGCGTCGCGCTCCAAGCGATAGTAGCAGCGAGTCAGCGACCAAGATACTAACTTTCTACCCTGGAGGCTCGAATACAGTGGCAATCTTCAGTAGGAAAATTAATATCTTTCAAAACTTCTTCATCGTTGTTTGAGAACAGAACCTTATATCGGGGCATTGTTTTTCGAGGGCAATTTGCCGCTTCGAAAGCGATTATACCTATGGAAGAGAAAGGAATAGTTAACACGTATACCTTTTAATAATAGAAAAGGCTGGCTTTCAAGGTCGAAATCTGCCCAAACCGAATCAAAGAACATGGACTAGACTGCGTCATCGAGGCTCGGCGCATACCGCTAGCCCGAAATAGGTTTCTTGTTGCGCCTGACATCAGCAATCTCGATATAAGACATCCCTCGAGCCTTTATTTGCGGCCATTCTTGTTTAACCAAGGCTGTCTGATCCTGTGCGCCGTTTAAAAATGAACTTGACCGACCGAATTCTTCATTCAATCTATGGGCTCCCGCCTCCGACCAGCGGTATACGCAAAGAGCCCATGCAGGTGCTGGCCGTTGGGATTTCACGAAGCGGAACCGACAGTCTCCGCGAAGCGTTGCATATTTTGGGATTTAACCATACCCATCATGGCTTTGACACCATCCTTCCCCCTTCATCCCTGGAAGGAATATACCGGCTTTTGCAAAAGAAATACACCACAGCCCCAGAAGCCGACAAAATCAGCAAATTGACAGTGAAGGATTTCGACTCAATCCTACTAAACAGTGTGGGTGTCAGCGATTTATTCGCAGCAGAGTTCGCGCCCGAACTCATCGAAGCCTTCCCCAACGCAAAGGTCATCCTCAATGTCCGCCAGGACCTTGATGACTGGTACCGCAGCATGCAGAACACAATGGGATACTTTGACAAAAATCCTATTGATTGGGACTGGTGCAAATCTTGGTTTAGCGCAGATCTTTTTTGGATTCGTCAAACAATGTCGAGGACTATGATGCCACGGTTCTTCAGAGGAAGTTTCCAATCAAACGGGAAGTGGGTCTATGAGCAGCATGTCGCGATGGTCAGAGGCCTAGGTTTACCGGAGGACCAACTTCTCGAGTGGTCTGTTGAAGATGGCTGGGAGCCTCTTTGTCGGTTCCTAAACAAGCCAGTGCCTGGCATGCCATTCCCCAATGGCAATCCTCCCAAGGCATGGGCAGAACGAATTGCCAAGACAATGGAGGCTCATCATAAGCGAGCAGTAAGAAATATGCTGATTTTTGGGGCTTTGACTTTTATGATTCCTGTTATTTTGTGCACGTATTTGGTCGGAATCTTTTGATGGAAGCAGAGAATCGGCACATATTTTTCCTATTTTTACAAATTTCTTGCCTAATCACAACAAAGTAAATTCTAAAATTTTATTGCTTGCGGTGAAAGTGCCCTATTTTCGACTTGCATATCTGAAGAAGTCCCATGTAGTTTTACATACTAGGCTCATAGCATCATCATCTTGTAGTATTCTTGATCATAGATATACTAAATCAAGAAAATAAACTTGATGCGTATTTCAATAGATCGATTCTTGCCGATGCAGACACAGCCTTGATAGCAGCCGTGAAGTAAGGAATATCGACACCCTTGAAAGAACAGCTTCTCCCATGAATCTCAATAGTCACAGTGCCAATGTCATCGTCACCCGAAATGGCCTCGTGAATTAACCTTTCTTTATCAACTGAACCGAGGACTACAGCGCTGCTGATAGTATTTTCCAAAAAGAGATAGGGCAGATCGACCCATCCCAATTCTGAGCCACCCATGGTGAGATTGAAGGTCACATGTCCCTAAACACGTTAGCCCGTAGTTCTATCCCAGAGTATGGGATGGGTTGATATACCATCTCAACATTGAAACGAGTCGGATTGCGCACGGAGATTGTGGCATTAAAATTATACCCATCAACTGAAGGGTCCAGGAGCTCTATATTGGTGATGTTGAATGCGCCATCTTTATTGATGAAGTCTGCGAATGTCAGAAACGTTTACTCCCAGCGGGCAATTTATAATGGTATGTCTCACCTGTGACATTATAGCCTAAGATTGTCAGCTTGTTTCGTAGAATGTGATCGAGAACCTATACTCACCACCCACGTTCATTATTTTATGGATGTCCAAATGAGCTGTTGGTAGTGCTCCATATTCCAAATCCGGTGTACCTTCAACCAAAATGGAAGAGCTCTTGTTAGATCCAGCTGCAGATGCCAATCGTGACAGACAGTCGACACACGACAGATCCAAATCTTGGTCTATTTCGAGGGTGGCGCCATTGCCAAATGCAATATCAGGCACCGAGAAGACTGTAAAAAGCTCATTGGTATCTTTGAGGCGACATGTGGCATTGAATGCGTTCATTTGACCACTACCACTAAACCCATCTCCCATTCGAAGGGTTTGCTTTTGTTTAACATGGAATGCGGTTGGCCGGGGGTTGGTAATCTCGAGACCATCATAGTCAAATTCGTACTTGTTGATATAATCGTTTGCGAAATTGGGAATCCCGACATAAAAGCTGAGAAACGATTAGTATAAACAGTTACAATTTTCCATTATGAAGCTCACAGTGGGAGAATAATGACTAGGACAGAGATGCAGAATGCGATCAAATAAGCCCACCAGAACCTCTTCATATGTGCCTTGAAGCGGTTCCATAAGGTTGACTTTGTTGGGGCTGTTAGCGCCTCTTCCACCTCAGAGTCACTTGAGATGTCGGATTTTGACATGCTGGGCAGAATAATGTTGATGAGTGCGAAAGGATTTGGTTCAGCCTAGGTCGTGGACGGTGAAAGTGCAGTAGATAACAGTATGGCAACTGCTTCCCATGCTGTAGAGTAGGAAAGTAGAAGTAGAGAAGGAATTAAAACTGGGGTTTCTAAGGTTGAGGGAAGCAATTTCATAACTAGTCGTCGCTTCGGGTTCTGTTATACCCCATGTCGATCAGACCCGCCTTTCACATGATAGCAAGATGTGCACAGCAATGATTCAAAACGAGAATAATGTCTTTGCGAGAACTCAGTAACTGACGTCACAATATTCAATCCAGGATCAGCTATGTTATTTGATCGCGGGTTCAGAAACTAGCGTTCGGTATATAACTGTTCGAAGACGAGGCTCAAGGCAAATAGACCTGAGAATATAGGTCCCACCGACACCACCCGATTGGGATTAGTTTCACTGTCGGTGGGACCTGCCTTCTCATGCTCCTGGGGTGCCTGTGTACTCCGTATTGTAGCAAAGGTAGTCAAAGTAGCCAATCAAAGCATACAATAACTGATCTGTTTGCCCGAGATGGGCTTATACTTCTCGTATCGGATACGTGATCAGCAGATGACGCTTGATGAATTGCAGATCGTGCGCGGAACAGGGTGATCGGCCAAGACAGACCTCGGCTGTGGATTGAACTGCCTGCAAACTACTCCCATGTAGAGAGCTATGCTAATTATTAATTCCCCAGGTTTTCCGATCTCTTGGGAGGCTCCGGTCTTAAAAGCCAACTCAGAAACATTGGCTCTTCCAAGGTTGCATCTCCAAGGCTTATTGTGACGATGTTGTAGTCTTAGTAGTAAAGACTACGGAAAGTGAACATGTATGCATGATATAGGTGATAACGGACGATATTATAAGCACACACAGACCAATATGGTCTTTATATCCCCGAGCATAGACTGTCATCAAGGAAAGAAAAAGAACAAGGGCTTGGGTGTAGTCCATCTGGCTAGCGTTGGAGGGAAAACTGCTGCGTGGGATGCAATGGGAGTTGTCATGGAAGTGAGCCACAATCTTGTTTCTAATTGGCAAGATTTTTCCCCTCCTACGAGTATCCTTTCGTCTCTTCTCCTATCCAACTCGAACCAGGTAGAATATTTTCGCTCGACAAACTTTCTGGTATAGCCATCTGTGCCTCTAGCAACCCTCCTCTCCCCCTCCTTCGCCGATAAGAAGAAGTAATCGTTTCTGTTTTTCGGTTTTGGAAGTGGTCTTGGCGGCTGAGCTGAGCTCGTGGCGTTTACCCCTTACCCCCGGGCCCCGGGGCCCTCAGGCTTGCTGACATCAGCAATGGATTGAAAACTTTGGCCTCTGCGCTATAAACCATTCCTTCGTGTTTCGATGTATAAATCTCGCTCAAGGGTGTACAAAGCTATACGGTGGGATGCTCCCTATGATGAGCACGAGTCGAAGGACCTTATAGTGTCGGTGGTCGTATAAAATTCCATCTACAGCTATTTGGTATACAGCTATAATGATATCAAGTTTCATCCCAGAATGCTCGAAGCTCTAGTATTCCATGGAAACTTGAGTGGGGCACAGTCCGACTCGAAAGATTCTAAAATATTTCACTTGGAATGATAAAGCAGTTTCTGTTCTCATGGTTCGCAACTACTTCTCAGTGAAGAGAGTAATCTGGAAGGCACTAGCCAAGAGAAGTACCCTCGTCTCTATCCAGCGCGGAAGGCCCTAATTGGGAAAATGATACACCTGATTTCCCAGGTTGATACGACGGGGCCAATAAAATAGATTTTAAGACATCTCGTATCAGAAGTTAAGAACCTATAAGGTCTAGGCCCCCAATGACAACGCTAACTACAAATGGTATAGGACGCGTCTTTTTTTTGGTCATGTACACGGGTCCTTTTGAACATTCCCTTTGTAAATGGCTCAAAGCACCCGTGGACGTTTGTATTTTCCTTTACTTCCGTCCACATGCTCCCACGGCACTCAATTCCACTCAAAGAAGGCCGCCCGTCATATCCAAGGCCGAAAGCCAAAACACGAAAAAGCATGCTTTTGCGTACCACTCGCGTCATTATTGCGGTAGTAGCGGCGTGGGTGATATTGTCATTTTTGTTCCTTAGGTCGCCATCAGACACAAAGAGTCAATCGACTTCCAACTTGGTCACGAACAAAGTTTGGCAAATTTGGCCCACGGATATCCGGATTGTGGAGTCATCGGAACACGATTCAACGCAAGAGACCCCTGATGAAAAATCCATTCTGGAAAATCCAGGGCAGGAAAATGTAGAAGACCAAGCGCAATCAATTTCAAATATCATCGAAGATACCAACAACACGAATACAACCGATCTAGAGCCTGATCTCTCAAAGGATCTGGAACCCGATCTCTTTGAGGCGGCTCTTGACTATCTTCTATCGACAGTTCCCAACGAACTATACGTCCAGGAGTTCCTACAGCCAGTAGTCAGCACAGGCGAGGCAAAGCTGCACGAGCTTGGCCTGCGCACCCGCGTATATAAACAGTTCTTCCAGGCTTGGGAGAATGTACACCTCGTCACCACCGACGATAATCACACTTACGTGCGGGACGATATTGTCCCATACATTCGCGACAAGTTCAGCAAGCCAACCTTCCCTGGCGCACTGCACAAGTACGAATCTTATCGCGGATTCCTCGCCAAACTCTCTGCGCTGTTGTTTCCGTGGACGAGCCCATACTTTGCAGATCATATGAGTATGCGCGCCTCTCTGCGACATGGAGGCCGCGGCATCGTGACAACGGCAGGCAATGGCCAGGCGCCTTTTCTACTGGCTGCTATTCCTTCTTTTCGCCTCCTGGGTTGCGATCTTCCCATCGAGGTCATGTATCTCGGCAAAAACGATCTGAGTGAGGACTTCCGGACCAAGCTTGAGGCCCTACCAGGCGTCACAACGCGTGACCTCTCCGCACTGGTTAACGATGAAGGCTGGCAGCTCAACGGATGGGCCGGTAAGCCCTTTGCTATTCTCTTCTCGTCTTTCCGTGAAGCCCTGTTCATCGACGCCGACTCACTGTTCTTCGTTAACCCCGAGGTACTATTCGATGACCCGGAGTACGTGCGCACGGGCGCCCTTTTCTTCAGAGATCGAAATATTTCGCCAGAGAGTAAGCAGGGATGGCTGCAGAAGATCTTGCCAATGCCAATTTCACCAGCCGTGCAACAGAGCAGAATGTGGACCGGGGAGAGCGGGCATGAACAAGAGTCGGGAGTTATAGTTGTGGATAAGTGGATGCACTTTGTCGCATTGTTGCTCGTATGCAGAATGAATGGACCAGATAGGAATGGTAACGGTGCGGATATTGTAGGGACTTATGATATGGTATACGGTTCGTTTTGCCCAGCTACAGGCCTTCCCAAACTCGTTTTTCGTTTGCTAATCACTGGAGCTACACAGGTGATAAGGAAACCTTTTGGCTTGGATGGGAGCTTTCTGGTGATACTTCCTATGCCTTTCACTCGGGCCTATGTGCAGTCATGGGCATTGTCCAACCCCCACCAACTTCAACACCACTAATCAACAGCCTACACCGACCTTCGTCGGTGGAATTGCAGTGGCCCCACCGAAACCAACAGAAGGACGCACAATGGCACCTGGCCATGAGTCCGACCTCACGATATGTGCTCCCCAACTTCTTCATTTGGACCGCGAGAAGCGCCCTTTGTGGTTCAATGGCTGGCTCTTTGAGAATAAGTTTGCAGCGGGTAAACGACGTATCGGAAGATTTGACATGTTTATGGAGGAACAGACTGGCTCATTAGGTCCACCAACGTGGCAACTAGAGGAGCACAATCTCTGTTGCTTGTCAAGTCCCGCAGCAAGGGACTTTACAAAGCAGGAGACCGAATGGCTCGGAGAGTTGGTTGAGATGGCAAATACAGTTAATAACTAGTGGAGGAAGAATATCTTCATGACTGTATTTACTATTCCCAGCATACACGCAAAGGAAAGTCCTTCGAGATCTGGGGTGACAAGTGTCAAGGATGTGAATGACCTTGAACATCCCTAAAAGGACACACCAAACGATCTTTCCTGGTTGCTCCTCCCACGCTCCCCCACAGCTATTCTTCCAAGACGACTTTTCGCCCAATATTTCTTGCTGCCTTTTTCCACCATGGCCGAAACCTCCGCCAATGCACCCTTCTCCCAAAGATAATACGGAGAATAAAAAGGCAAGGTGCGCTGCGATAAAAAAGAGAAGCGACGGCGCAAGAAGGCGCGTCGTGCCCGCATTGATGCCATTTTCAATGGCCAGATGGCCAAGTACAATGCAGTAAGATCAATATAGTATCTTCATCATGAGCGTCGAGCTGATATATTTGATAGGGCGGTGAAAATCAGATTGCTGGTACGCGGGATGAAGTCATTCGGATCCTGAGAAAAACCGCTGAGGTTAGTACCCTGAATGTGTATCTTGTTGGAAATCTACCCACTCTAACATTCTCTATGCTCTCAGGCACTGGGAGAGCGAAACCCCCACGAAGGGGTAGAGTACATATACATACAGAAGATAAAGATAGGGGGTGTCGCAGCGCTACAGGGGCCTTTTTCTGCTTCATGATTTCCTCCCCTCCCATTCAAGTATCAATCTCTTAATGAACAAAGGATTTATTTTCCAAAAATGGCACACGAACCTACCTCAGTACCTAGATACAGGGTGACCATACTTGGCTAATAACATAAACATGAATTCGTACCCTTGTACCAAAATGCGAGATGGGGGGCTTCGTAGGAGTGCATGTAGCCAATCATATCCCAGTTTCTTTGTTCTCTTTGTTTATGCACATGTATGCACCTTCCAGCTATAGTGGGGCCCAGTGGGGATTTGTATGAAGCTAAGGTTTCCTAGTCAGCTGGTGCAGTGGTTAAGGGTAAACGCTGTAATTACTCGTACAGCCCTGGGTTTGTTCCCCTTGGGAACCAAGTGGGCTGATAGTTTGAATGTGCTGCTGGGAATCACCCCCTCTTCTTTTCTCTCTCTTGACAATATCAGACATGTGTAAACCGATGGAATAAGAAGATGAGTATATAAGCTTTACGCCATTTGCTCAAGATACCAAGTGATAGATGGGGGAACTGGTGAGGGGGGTTGGAATGCAGGTGGGTCGATCGAAGTGGAGCTGTCACTTCCCGATCTGGCCTAGTCCCACTTTTATTTGAGCCGCACGACATCCATGGATATTCCCAGGTTATTTGGAGTTCGGTCGCCAATACTTCTTAACACTAGTGACTATAGGCCAAAAGAAGGTATAATCTACGTTCTGCACTAGTAAATGGAAGAAATCTCCATAAAAGAGTGTAGTCCTGAGACCTGAGGCATTACAACAACGAATGGACTGCACAACTGAGTATTGTCTACAATTTTGGGACGTGAGGCAACAAGATTACATATTCATTATAATATTATGAATAACCTTGGAGGCCAAGTACAACAATTTCTCCATCGGTTGCTGCAATGTGACTCGGGTTCTCCTATCCTATTCGACTTTCTTGCGGAAATACCGTAATATCGCCTAGGATACAAAGTTCTCGCCCAACTTCCGGAATTTTGCGTACTTCGAACGCATCCTTTTAGGCTTTATTACATGCTGTGTGTGTTTCATTAGCTCTGTTGCCTTCAGCGAGCTGCAGGGAAAAATCACGGGAGGAACGGTAGTGTTCTGCTTGGGCTTGGGCATCAACCTCGCAATGGTGTCACGCTTAGACTTCTCGGCCCTAGCCTGGAATTGTTGTTAGTACCTATCATTTGATTTGTACAATGCAGTCTACCCAATGCACATGTGGGTTAGCATGCAGAGATTGTCTGATGAAAGGCAAGAAAAGAAAGATCATGCTGGGATACATGAAAACTGAGTAATGGCTTACTCTTTTCTTCCTGGCGTGTCTGGCCCTTTGCCTCCTCCGTCGTGGCATAAATATCTTGTCGGCAGCTTTGCAAGTAGGATGAGGATGAGGAGGAGGTGGGGGAGGAGGAGGAGCGGGAGGGCCGGAGGCCACAGCAGGGAGAACCAAAGGAATTGAAGTTGCTTGGTGGGGTGAAAGTAGATGAAAAGTGAAAGTTGAAAGGAAAGTAGAAGTAGAAGTAAGGTGAGAAAAGCGATTCATTTCACAAGTGATATATATGAAGGTAGGGGACGCTGAGCTATAGCAGGGCATCGCCCATGCGCCTTCCTGATCCCATCGCTACCAATTCTTTCATACCATATCCATCTAGACTTAGATTTCTTTCTTTTAAATATGGTCATTAGTCTATGCTGGCTTACAATTGATGGTCAATTGAATTACATGTGAGGCGACATAAGAAATTAAGAGAAAGGTGACCGTGGGATTGATGAATATGTAGTCAATGGTTTCATCAAAGGCACATGAATAGGCAAGGAGTGAGTGCTGGGTAGATATTCACATTCCATTGCACCGTGGAGACCATATGTACGTCACAGACGGTAGAGGGGTCCCGGACCATGGCCGCAGCCTTGGAAACCTAGGAAGGCTGAGAAGCCTAGACATGTCTACCGTGCACATGCCCACGGAAGTGTCTCTTCACACGTTGTTTCCCAGTCTCCTCTACCTCCTGTCCCCAACCTGTCGGCGGGTTATTACCCGGCAGCTTCTTCAATACACCGTCGATCTTCTCTGGAACCAGGTTCTGAATATTGCAGGTAGTCGAGGCATCGTTGAGGAACCCAGCATCACTGCACTTATCCATGCCCAAATCCCCAGTATTGCAGTTATCAATAATCTTCTGCAAAACTTCCTCGTCCCAGCCAGAGATCTATTTCTTCATTAGCCGTTGCTCATAATATCAAGATTATCATATATTATCGATGTACTCACAAAGTCACCATGAAGTGAGTACCCCGTACGATCCCCGTTACTGAGGATAAACGGCTGCGAGCCAGTTCCCTCAGTCCACATCCCCTCAAACAGCGGCGTATTCCAGTACACCTCATAGAAGATATGAGGAACGTGAATCCAACCAGGTGGACAGTTCGCCTTGCCACCAGTGGTACCCTTGCTGCTCGGGAAGACCATGTTAGTCTCATGGGCCTGGATACCAGCCTCGGGGTTATAGCAAGAGGGGAAGTGAATATCTGCACGCAGAGGCGACGCATATCCGTCGCAGTTCATATGCGGGAACCCGGCACCTGCGCCGGCGTTGTTAGGGTCCTGGATACCGACGCCGTGCATGCCGTCTGAGTCTGGTGGGTAGGAGGGGATGTTGTAGGATGTGCGTGGACATGTCCATTGCACGGGCTGGATGGGTCCTTGGTTTGTGTCTAGGACGTTGGCGGCATCTTGGGGTGGGGTTCGGAGAGAGGCGTTGCCGATGAACATGCGTAGGCCGAGTGGGAAGGGCTTGATTTCGTCGTCGGTTGGCTCGAAAAAGTAGTAGACGTTCATGTAGAACATTGGGACTGAGAGGAAACTTCCGTTGGAGTGTTGGAAGTACAGGGATGGGGTCCAGTAGTTGCTTTTGTCGGCGTCAACTAGAGAGGAGGTGCAATTTGAGTACAGGAGGGCATCGTCCGTCATGGTCAGGTTGAAGTTGCTCCCGCCTTGAATGGCGTGTGAGTGAGTTGATGGGGTTCCTGGATTCATGATGGGGTCCATTCGTCCCATCGACAGAGCACCATTGCCATAGAAGTGATTCACGGCGAAAGTACGTGAGTCTTTTGCGAATCCACACACAAAGATGGCGGCAAGGGCCGTCATAGATAGGGAACGTTTGGCATACATGTTGATGGAAATGCAAGAAAAAGAAACAGCTGGCTAAGGATGCAGCAAAGTCAAGAAGAAATGAAAGGCTCAAGTACCAGACTTGAGGTAAAGGAATGCGTAGCAAAAGTAATGGAGCAATGGGGTCATATTGTTATATAACCCTCTGGAAACTCGCTCTCGTTCTCGCTCAATAACCTTCAATAACCAATATGAATAGATGAAACTCGCGAGGTTTCTTTGAAAGAATCAGGGTCCATGGCACGGACTCCACATTCCGTCAATAGCACATTGTTACATTTGGTCTTAGGCATCAGCATCGGGCTAGACTTACCCAAGACAGTATATAGTTATACAGGATCATTATTAAGCGCCATGGCTGAGATTTAATAAGGCGAAAGGTCCTCCACTTAGTCAAGGATGTTTCAGACTAGATTAATATGAAACCTACGATGGATCAAAGTCATTCACATGGATCACAAACGCCAGAGACACTGGGAATTATTGATTTCAATGCAGATAATATGTAATTTTATGAGGCAAAAGGCGAAATGTTCAAAATCAAGGACCGAAAAAGAAATCGCTGCGCAAAGCTCTCATCCATGCATAAGTTCGCTTGTAAAAAGAGGAAAAATCAAGGCACAGGTAAAAATATTAATAACACATGTTGGTCGAGTATCCTATGTCCACACCGTAGAAGGACCAACCACAGAAAACGTTGTAATAATTGTTCAAAGAACTCCCGATAGAACGGCTTCGGTGGCTGCATATCTGTTAGCTGTGTGCATTAAAATATTGAACAAAATGATGACTTACCAGAATTGATGTATGGCCGCTTGGCGTCCAGGTTGACATCGAACCGCCTTTCAAGCTCCTGCTTGACGGTCTTCTTCGAGACCTTCATCAAGTCTGCAGTCGCCAAAATCTTGCGGATCTCTTCGAGAATTTCATCGTCAGGAGGTAGATGGCTCAGGTCTTCCATGCCAAAGTTGCTCATCATTTCAGACGGGGCGACTGAGTAACGAGTGCCACCGCCTCCAAGAGGCAAGTCGAGCTGTGAGACCGGGCGTGAGCCAGTATGGTACCCATACTCTGATTGCGGGAAGGGAGGAAGTCTGGTGCCGTAGGAGTGTGCGGAGAATTCAGATCGGTCGTCGCGCGAAGTCTGGGATTCCCACAACTCTGCTTGGTAGTCTTCCCAAATTTTCTTGGGAATGGAGTCGGGGTCGAACTTGCCTTCGTCAGAAATGACAACCTTGCGACCCTTCTCTCCGGTGATAACACGCGTATTACCCCAGGAGAAGTCATCCATGTGCCAGAAGGAGTACAGTGGCAAAGCAAGGGAGAAAATTGGAATGGCCAGGAGGTAGATTAACATCCAGCCAATCATTTCCCACTTGCGCCTAACGAGGAAGATCAAGGCCTGTAGACCGTAGATGACACCAAGAAGAATAAAAGAAGTGATCGGGAGCACATCTGGCTCACTCACACACCACCAGATCAGGTAAGCGATATAGGCAACTGTGACTGGCTGAATGACGGTCATGAGCAGATCGATGAGCACAATAAATCGCATACTGAAACAGCAGAAACCACAAAGCTGTTGCAGCGGAATCAACTCCATCAAGTTGTGAACGGTAGAATTGATCCATCGGCGACGCTGGGAAAGGAAGACAGTAAAGCTTTCCGGTGCAACTGTCCAGGCATGACATCTGAAGATGTACTTTGTCTTGAACTTCGGGTGATGCTTGATAAGCAGGGTTGTCAAGTAGCGATCTTCACCAAGGTGCAGCAGATTCTTCATGTGGAGGGTATCGACGCGGATTTCGGAGTAGGCGTCGACCACAGCCTTACTGACAAAGAGAGGCGTTCCGTTCTCCGCTGTGCGGATACGATACATGGTGAAACAACCGGGCAAGCAAGTGACGGATCCAAACAAACTTTCAAATGCTTTGGTCAGGTTGTGAGAGATGTAGTATTCATAAACTTGAATCATTGTCACAATGGAAGTCTTGGCGTTAGACAAGGACGTCTCTCCGCAGCAGCCGATGAGACGTGTATCAGAGAGGAATGCCGAAACAAAACGTGTGGCGGCATCGGGTGCTACCACGGTATCAGCATCGACCTGTAGAATATACTCGTAGAATTGCGGATTGACGCCAATAATGTTCCGGATGTGATGATGCATCTCAAGCTCCATGGGGCTCATAGGCAGGTTGTAATGAACACGGTTGAGGAAGCGCATAAGAACCATCTGGGAATCACGTTTTCCGCGGTTACCAGGGCGGGACACTTCAGAAGGTTTGCCAACTTTGACAACGACCAGGAAAGGAACGATGTGGCCCTGGACTTCGTATAGACCAGAATAAAGCTTTGCCATGTTATGCTGCTTCATACCCTCACCCAGACTCTCGAAGCTGAGCGGTTCAGGATCCACAGATTCAGGGACACCCAAAATGTCAAGGACGATGCGGGGAGTCGGACGATCGTTGCCCTGACCGATAATCATACCATCACAGATAACGAGTAGTAGTTTGCGCTTGTCGTCATAGCGCATGCGAGCCATAGAGTCCATGGCACGGCGCAATGACTCTTCGTCTTCGGTATACACCGGGACTTGGCATATGATGAACTTGTCCAAATTCTCCGGAAGGCTCTTCCTTCCGAATTGCAACGCAGCCAAAAATTTGAAGCCAATAATGGAGACAAGCATGATCGAAATTGCGAGAATGAAGTATCGCGCAAACTGACAGCGAACTGAGTCTCGGGTGTCGACCTTGCCAATGAAGAACAGGTTGTCAAGGCAAAGCTGCATTCGGGACCTGAGTGCCTTGTCCAGATTCAGGTCCTCCCAATATTTGGTCACATCAACTCCGGGCTTTCCCTGGAATATATCGACAAGCAGAGGGTTCATGTAATCAGTATCAACATTGCCGGTGGCGTTCTTCCCGGTTGGCCGGCGGGGCACTCGCGGCCCAGCAATGTAATAGGTCAAATCATAGATTTTGCCGTGGATACTTGCAACTTTCCTGTTCTTGTCGGTCGCCAGCTTCTTCATTGCCTTTGAAGTATAACCAACGTAGCCTTTCTTGTAATTCGAGCGCATCATGACCATTTGCTCATAGAACCAATCAGCTCGGGAGTCGTTGGTCCAAGAGCGGAAATCGTGGTACTTGGCATTGACATCAAAGGTGGAGCTGGAGGCTGTGGCCGCGGAATCATTCAGATTTGATCGATAGTCTAATGGTACGCTGGGATCCACTCTTCCAGTCGTACCCTGGCACAAAGCCGAGACTTGAACAGGGAAAAGATTGGTAGCGTCAGTGCCTGCATAGGCCTTAAGTGACTTCTGGGGAACGATGTCGGGGAAGTGGGATGGCATGAAACTTCCAAGGTTGAAAACCACGCCTCGAATGGCAACGTAAGACTCTTCTGAACCTTTACCATTCTTACCGCTGAGCTCTGCCGTGTTGTAGATATCCTGAGTTGGACAAACCACTCCAGGGAACCCGACAATCATGAAAACTGCTACAGCACAGGCGAACCAAATGATCATGTTGATAGCGAGCTTTTCACGCCAGGCAATCCGCACGTCCTTGCGCTTCATTCGCCCAACAAACCGGATCACAAAGTCCGGGATCAAGAATGTAAGGAGATAGACCAGGAACATCCAGCGACGACGACCGGCAGATGTCGGAGCCTCGTCGACCTCCTCCATCTTCTTTTCGTTGTTTTTCTCAAGCATTTGCTCCTTGGTGTCAAGATTTTTGAACATATCACCAGAGTTGAAGGCGGAACCTCCGGCATCAGAGCGGCCATCCAGTTCACGGCTACCAAAGTAGCCTTGTTTGGGATCATCTCCATAAATAAAAGCACCTGGAGACTGGTCGGTGGGGTTGAGAAGTCGTAGTTTGGCGTCAGGATTTCCACCAGCGGGCTGGAAGCCGTCGCTTTCATCAGCACCAGCATTTCCATAGGATGGTACCACGCGCTCGCCGACTTTAGCGATATCTGCCCAGCATCGTTCGCTCAAGAAAACACCGGTGCTACCGACACGAGCTTCGTTGCCAGGCCATCGCTTTTCGTCGAGAACAACCTCGGACTTCTCGCGGTCACTTCCCACCACAACATTCCCGATGTCAGCCAGGCCAAGGAACTCTCCGAACGGAAGGAAAACACTGTAATCGGCGTTCCGCAGCCGCGAGCTGATTTCGGCAATACCAAATGTTTGGACCTGCATCCGCACACACTTGCTGTCGAACTGGTTGGCAATGCGACGATCATTGGGCTTGAGACATATGACAAAATAAGGATTGAGGTTCGAGGAACTCAAGCATTTGTTTACAATTTCCAGGCCAGAAAGGAACTGGCCGGCAGCTCCCTGAGCCGGGCCGGAAGGCATTCCGCTCTTCCTCCCGCTGGCTCGCTTGGATCCTGCAACTTGGCTTTCGTGTTCATCACCTTCCTCACTTTCGGGGTGGGCACTTGGGGCAGCAAAACGGGACGGGGGTCCGGTCTTGCGTCTAGCCATGCTAGGCATCCGCAGAGGCTTTGAGCTCACCTGAGCCTGCATGATGGCAGTCTTTTCTTGCGGGTGGGATATGGTCTGCAGAGCTTCCTGCTGGAACAATTCACGCACAAAGTCGCTACGGGTGGAGCGCATCAGGTTCATCAAATCTCCCGAGATAACTTCACCATTCTCCTCAAGCAGGCCGGTGGTGGAGTAGTCCACCTCGCCGGCGAAATGCTTGACGGTGAACGCACTCCGGGCCTGGGACATATAGCCACCCGACCCACTGGTACCACCAACAGAGATGGCGGGGTTCTTGTTCTCGAAGCGCTTTCGCACACTGTCCAGGAACTGTGCATCAGACCTTCCACGCCGGGTTTGGTCATCCAAAATGCTCAACAGACCGTTGCCATGCTTCAGTAGACCACGCACGGTATCCGTGTTATCGAAATAACTTGTCGCAGCCACTGTGATCTCCTCACGGTCCAGGATATCTGCTTTGTGGTCGAAGAATGACTGAAGGCAGTAGTTGTAGAGCGATTCAGTTGCGGCATTGCTAAGGAGCTGATCGAGAGTAGACCCTGTGGAAGCGGCTTGAGCAAAACCGGGGAAATCAACAATGGAGATGGTGTTGGCGACACTGTCCTCGGCTGCACAGAGCCTTTGGTTCACGCTTTCAATGACGTAGGTCACTAACAGAGAATAGATAGTACGTGCAAACGCATCAGCATTCTCTCGTGCTCCCTTCGGATCAAGCATGACCGTCACCCGCTCGCGGTGGATCGTCTTTGTCCGGTAACCGAGGCTGTTTTCCAAAGCATCAACACTGAGACCCAAGAACGCGGCGACATTGTCAAGAACTTCCTTGTTCTTTACCACAGTTACAAGCTCACCACCCTCGTGAGAATAGCCACCACTTTCTTCTGCGCCAGTGGTAGTAGACTGACCCGTGGCGAATTCGAGTTGCCCAATGTGAAGGATACTGGCTAAGATCTGGCAGATCTCGGCGATTTCGCCCCGAGAAAACTCCAACTTCCGCAGCGCGGTCTTGAAATGCTGGAAGCCCTCGGTATCATTAATTCCAACCTTGAGCTGAGTTGGATGACCGAGATAGCGCCAGCGCTTGTGGCTGACAGTTCCTCCGGACAGCCTGCTACCAGATTGAATATGGATGCTATTCTCAAATCCCAGGTGTGACTTTTCTGCCGCACTTGTTCCAGATAGCAAATAGTACAACACATGAAAGCTTCGCTCTCCCGTGGGCACCGAAGAGATGCGACTACGCTCCAATCGGTAGTCAATTATCTTACCGCCGATAAGGGTGGGGTTCACGGAGGATGATCCATCGTATTGAAGCTCAAGGAATAGACCAGCTTTTGAAGCGGTGGGTGTAGTGACGGATTTGGTAGTTGTAAGCGTGTCAAAGACGAAGGCAGCGTATGAGAGTTTAGAGGAGAGCGGGGTTGATGAAAAGGATAAGAATGAAGACAGCAAGTGCGAACGGAGGGTGGTCTTTCCAGATCCGCTCTCTCCTCTTTAATCGAATGTTAGATATGTCTTATATAGAAGGTTGATTCAGCTTACAAGAATACAACAGCTTGGTTCTCAGCGCGCGCACCGAGACGGGTGAAGGCGCGGCGCGCGAGATCCTCAGCTTCGCCCGCAGCACTTCCCTCTTTTCCACCATCTGGTCCTTTGGTCGCCGATGAATATGTATTCAGAGCAATGAGGGCCTGGGACGACAGATGGGCAGTTGGTAATCCCACATGAAATCTGAGTCACATGTTAGCTATGACCGAGATTGTACTCCCGGAATCAAGGATCTTCATACCGACTGGCCAGATGGGCCGTGAGATGTGTATCAGACTGTAGGTGGGCGGGCAATGAGGGGAGTGAGGGCTGAGCGTGTGCCGGGCCACTCCCAGAAAAGGTATTGACCATATTTCGGTCCCCTCAGTCGAGATCTGAGGGTGTGAACGAGTGTATGAGGGGCAATCCGGACTTCAAAGATCGGGGCAAGTGGCTTGGGAACCCTCGCAGGGACGGAATGAACGTGGAGCGAGAGTAGGAATGTGTAGACTTGGCGGAATAAAGACCCCTAGCAACAGATCGAGATCGCACACATCGGAGAGGGGAAGATACGAAGGTGAAGTGCAATGGTGAGAGTAGGTAAACGAGAGACACGAAAATCGAAGCAGAAGCAAAAGTAGAAATTAGCCCAGAATGGAAGATCACAAAGGGAAAAAAAGCAACAAATCGATAAGAGGTCGGGGGTGGATGTGTATTGTGCAGTACTCAAATTACTAGTTCGGTCGCTAAGAATAGGTGAACCTCGGCCATAGGGGGATTAGGGGATTTAGGGGATTTAGGGGATTGTATTAAATTCGGTTCGGCTTTATTGGATGTGTCTCGGGTTAAATCCACCATAGCTGATAGTGCCATATATTTACTCGACAAAGTACTCCGTACATAAGGAGAATATTTCGAATGATATATTAAGGGACAACCTAGCAAAAAATCAAAACAATCAGAAAAAGAACCGGTTTTTAAAATTTTTAATACAGTCTCATGTTAAGAGATATATCCACTCCTGTTACCAGAGCTACATCTTTGTACTCCGTACATGTATGGGAGTACATCAGGTTGGAACACGTCAACTCTGGATATTTTCGTCAATATTGACCTCCTTGCAAGGAACCTGCATATCAAAAACTCTGACAATATGTCATGGATAAAAGTCTGAAACTAGGGGCATTGGTCTCTCTCGGCTTAAGAAAGAGTGGCTCGACATTCTCGCGCGACTATCAATAATAGGCCAGTAAACAGGCTAGTAGAGGTGGCACGGTGGATCAAGTCTCTGATCATATGTGTGGCGAAACTGGTCATCTGTTAGAGAAAAATAAGTGTGAGACATCCCAAATATAGTGCATACCGAAATGACTATTAATACATTAAATACATATACCGAATAAAAAATACTTCTGATCGTTCTACGGGGTTCTGGGACCCTGTTGATCTGATGGATTTTCATTGGTTGGAACTTTCAACTTATCAACCAGAAGCCCATTAGGGTGAAAGAGCAACAAACATCTGGTTTCAAAATTACGAGAAAAACTGTCTCTTTGAATGCAAATTCAAATATAACCTAGGCCATGTCAGCATTTGAAATGAAACAGAAACTCGAATCGTATTGTATTGCACTTCATCTAAGACCAAAAAGAAAAGTGTCAAAAGCTTAAGTGCTGTACTGCACAGTTCAGACGATCGTCAGGATCGACGGTATTTTTCCATACCCCGTAATTTTCAACTCCATCGATTTCTTTCTCCCCACGCCTAACTTATTCTCAGCTGTTTTGTCTTCCTCATCCATTCAGGAGTTCCGTCTCCAGTCGCTCGCTCAATCCAAATCCTTGATCGTTCAACCCGGACCTAATCTAAAACTAACTCCCTTACAACCTCTACACACCAACTCTCACTGTACATCTAGCGAGACAACCAATACCAAACAAAAGAGTACCCTCATGCGGTTGTGATAACGAACAGGCCGGACATCGCATCTCGCCGTTAACATCGTTGACCCTCCGACCTCACGTTCGTCATGTCGAACCGTTATTCGGTCTTCTCCACGCAGTCCGCGGGTCTCTCCGCCGGACCCAGACCACAACATGGAACTCAGGTCTCAACAACAACATTATTGAATGCTCTCCATTCTTTTTATACTGCGGGTCAACCATATCAACTAGACTCAGCAACGAGCTTGGTTGTGAATACATGGGTGACCGCAGCAACCACTTTACCCGATGGGCGAACTGGCGCCACGGTCGACCGTGACCTGGCTATCAGAGCTTGGGAACATGCTCGACGCCGGGCCGAGGATGGCTGTGTTGTGCTAGGGTATGTTGAAAATTGCATTTATCCAAAGACCATGAGTGCTAACATAGAATAGCGCTCTCCATCAATCCACACCCTCATTGCTAGAACCGTTTATCGCGGCGATCCCAGTGGAAACACCCGAGATAGCTCTGATCGCGCTCTCCGCTCTACGACCCTTCCTCACTGCTGTCACCTCGTTCAACCCATCCTACTTTCTTCATTCGGCTTTGGCCGCCACTTACACCTTATCTTTGCAAGGATCTGTCGTTGGCCTCTCCCTGGCCTTGTCCACCTCCGGCATCAATGTGCGCAAGGGTCTTCTGGAAATCCAGCCCGACACCGGCTACCGTGCATTTGATGCCTTCTACTATCTCCTCACCTCTTCATCGACAGCTGCGGAGCGTGAATTTTTGGACTTGAAAGACCCCGCTGCGTATACGTTGCTCAACCGATCAAATACATATGATCCTCCACACTATCTACCCACAGCCGACGATGCTGCTGCAGCAGAAGACTTCCGTGCTTCCTTGAAAGCCATTGGCATCAAAGGTGCTGCTCAGCGAGGTTTGCTATCAGTCCTTGCTGGTCTCCTTAAGCTCGGCAATGCAGTCGGGTTCGAGGTGGACCAGGAAGAGCTAGAAGAGGTCTGCGAGGATGCTGGGGGTCTTCTGGGAATTGATCCAGAAATTCTTCTTCATACATGCTCCACTGATGAGCGGGAAGTGCTGATCGCCGGGATATACGAGGCGCTGGTCGATTGGGTCATCGGCAAAGCAAATGAGGCCATCACAGCTGACATTCAGGTTGCATTGGAAAATGATTCTAGCAACGGGGGTGCAGCACAATGGTCAAGCGACGACACAGTCAACCTGACTGTAATCGATATTCCACGACCGGCCCTCGGCAAAGCGATCATGATGAGAGGCATCTTCGATGATAGTCTCGGTCTCAACGCTGAAATGAAGGATGATGGAATTCCTCTCCCTTCCATCGGAGCTTCTGTCATTAGTGAGATGAACTCTGCAGTGACCCAGGTCGAACCAGACCTCAATATCACCACAGGCCTTGCCGGGCGAGAACGCGAACACGATCTCGACAAGCGGCAGGGGGTACTGGAAAAGATTGGCGTCGAACTTGAGATGGACGCTTTTCTGCGACGCATTCTATTCCCTGTTGATACCGAAGGTATCTCGGTGGGAAAACGCGGCCGGTTCGATCTTGCCACTACGCTCAACAGTAGCCGTGTCTGGTACCACCTCTCTCTCCATCCGACTGATGACATGCCGGAGCAGCTCGCGTCATCGGCACCTACAGCGTGGTCTGCCGGTGCAGTCTCCCGCCAATTACGAGACTGGCGACTCCCGGAATGGGCCAACCGTCGTTTGAAGCAACTCGATTTCACCGCCGATTTCGACGTGGAAGAGTTTGTCGGTCGGTATGCACGACTCGGTTGCGCCGAGGGCCAGGATGGTGTTGAAAACTGGATCATCGAGAGAGGATGGAGCAATGGCGATGCGGTCGTCGGTGAACAGCGCGTATGGATGCGCGAGGGGGCATGGTGGGAAGCAGAGAGTATGCTGGATCTCAAGCCAGAAGAAACCCATGTGAATCCCTTCATGTACGGCCCTGCGTTGTACGAGGCCGGCTTCACCCCAGAAGGCACTGCCATCCAGGAAAATTCCAACCTTCTTGGCATGCCACCTGGCGGGGCCATAGCCCCGAGTGTGATGGGCGGTGCGAAGTCCATTGCGCCCAGTGCACCATTCACCAACGCTGCCAATGCCGGTGACTACGGCCTGGGTCGGAAAGGTGATGACAAGAAAGGAGACATTGCATACTACGACGAATATGGCCGGTACATCGGCGAATTCGATCCTGAGTTTGGTGATCCCAAGCACATTGAGAAGAAAACCATTACCTGGAGCCGTCGACTCTGGGCTGGTTTCGTCTGGGCGATGACCTTCTGGATTCCTTCCTTCGTGCTTCGATACGTTGGCCGCATGAAACGCCCAGATGTCCGCCTAGCCTGGCGAGAAAAGCTCGTCCTTGTATTTTTGATTCTGCTGTTCAACGGAATTGTCTGCTTCTATATCATCGCCTTCGGCGACCTTCTCTGTCCCAACAAGAACAAAGTCTGGAATCAGAAGGAGGTTGGCTGGCACACAGATGATAATAATTTCTTTGTCGGTATCCACGGCCGTGTTTACGACATCAGCAAGTTCTGGCGCACGCAGCACAGTGACATGACTGGATATGAGACAAACACGGACAACATGCGCCCATTTGGAGGACAGATTCTTGACGACTATTTCCCCCCTCCTCTTAACCGCTATTGTGCCCCACTTGTTAAGTCTGATACGATCACCTTGAGGCACAACAAGACAGACGCTATCGAATATCCTATGGCCGAGCACAAATCGGGGAAACAGTCATTAGTCCCCGACACAGCACTCCACAAGGCCACCTGGTATGAAAATAAATTCTTGCCAAAGATCGGTACATACTACAAGGGCGACCTGGTTTGGACAAGGGATACCATCAAGAAGCAGGCAGACGCAGATTCTCGCTACTGGGTTATCAAGGACCAAAAGGTGTACGACTTGACGGACTACTTCCATACATTAAAAGAGATGAACAATCTCGACCAATACAACTGGCTACCGGCATCTGTGACTACTCTCTTCAAGAACAACATGGGCGAGGATGTCACCGACAAATGGCAGGACACAGTGGACTTCAGGGATGCCCAAACATGTCTCGACTTTGTCTTCTACAAGGGCAAGGTTGATTTCCGCGACAGTGCACGATGCACAGTCAACAACTGGATCCTGCTCACCTTCACCATTCTCATCTGCATTGTCATCCTAGTCAAATTCCTGGCAGCTCTGCAGCTGGGGTCCAAACGTCGGCCCGCGCCTCAGGACAAATTCGTCATCTGCATGGTTCCCGCATACACTGAGGGCGAGAACGATCTCCGAAAAGGTCTTGATTCTCTGACTGCCTTGCAGTACGACAACAAGAGAAAGCTGATCTTTGTCATCTGTGATGGTATGATTGTTGGTGGCGGAAATGACCGCCCCACCCCCAAGATCGTTCTGGACATTCTCGGGGTTGATCCTAAGATGGACCCGCCGGCACTGCCATGCAAATCTCTCGGTCAAGGAAGTGAGCAGCTGAACTACGGCAAGGTTTACTCTGGTCTCTATGAGTATGAAGGCAATGTCGTGCCCTACATTGTGGTCGTCAAAGTTGGCAAGGAATCCGAGCAGCGCAAGTCCAAACCTGGCAATCGTGGCAAGCGAGACACGCAGGTCCTTCTTATGCAATTCTTGAACCGCGTCCATCACCGCTCACCTATGTCACCCCTTGAACTCGAAATGTTCCACCAAATCAACAATGTCATCGGTGTGGATCCAGAGCTGTATGAGTACTGTCTCATGGTAGACGCAGATACCACTGTCAGGGAGGATTCTCTGAATCGTTTGGTCGCTGCGTGTGCAGCAGATGCCAAGATCGCCGGCATTTGCGGCGAGACTAGTCTTCAGAACGAGGAACGTAGTTGGTGGACGATGATTCAGGTTTACGAATACTACATCTCGCATCACCTGGCTAAGGCGTTTGAGTCGCTCTTCGGCAGTGTTACCTGTCTTCCTGGATGGTGAGTCCACATATACCTTTCTCTTGTAGTAAGCTGATATTAACAATGCCTAGTTTCACCATGTACCGCCTTCGAACTGCAGACAAAGGACGTCCTCTGATCATCTCGGACAAAGTCATTCACGATTACGCTGACAATGATGTTGACACCCTCCACAAGAAGAACCTCCTCTCTCTTGGTGAGGATCGGTACCTGACGACCATCATGACCAAACACTTCCCGTCGATGTCATACAAGTTTATTCCTGATGCCTACGCAAGCACAGCCGCCCCTGAGACCTGGAGTGTGCTTATGTCGCAGAGACGCCGCTGGATCAACTCCACAATTCACAACCTGGTTGAACTGGCAGCTTTGGAAGACCTGTGCGGTTTCTGCTGTTTCAGTATGCGTTTCGTCGTTCTTGTCGATTTGGTGGGAACCCTGATCCTTCCTGCGACCTGCGTATACCTCACCTACCTGATCTACCTAGTTGCTAGCAATACTGGTCCCTTCCCTATGATCTCGATTATTATGCTGGCTGGTGTATATGGTCTGCAAGCGATCATCTTCATTGTCAAACGGCAGTGGCAACACATTGGATGGATGATCATCTACCTTCTTGCGTACCCGATCTACAACTTCATCCTGCCGCTGTATGCCTTCTGGAAACAGGACGATTTCGGATGGGGTACCACCCGTGTCGTCATTGGCGAGAAGGGCGACAAGCGAGTCATCGCTGTAGAAGATGAGCCCTTTGAACCACGCAGCATCCCACTCCAGCGCTGGGATGACTATGCCATGGCCAATAACCTCCCTGGCCGCCGCGGCGACCTCACGGCTAGCCAGGAGAAGATATACGCCACTGGCCGGTACGACGACATGGCTATGGAGATGGATGACCTGCACTCACAGTACTCATCCGTCAAGCCAGCCTCCACCATTCTAACCGGATTCCCGGGCCACGGCCGCCACCAACCTTACATGCCCCCACAGTCGCCCGCACCCTTCGTCGGCGGCAACATTCCCGGCAACCGCAACTCGCACATGTCAAACTTCTCCCGCTACACGGATATGCCGCAGATGAGCGCTCACATGGGTGGCCACTCTGCCCAGGCTTCCCGGCACATGTCCATGGGTGGCCTCAGCGCTTACCAGGACAACCAGATGGCCTCGAGCAGACACAGCCTCGGCATGATGCAGAGCAGCGATAACCTCCTCGGCAATGCTGGCTCTCGCAGCCCCCTGCCTCAGTACCCCTCTCGACCCGCCAGCACCGCCTTTGATTTCCGTGCTGGCAGTGGGCCCGATGAGCTTGCCATCACCGAGGCAATCCGCAGCTGCCTGGCCGAGGTTGATTTAGATACTGTCACCAAAAAGCAGGGTATGTTCCTAACTCAATCTCAATGATAATCATACAGTATGCTAACATTTGCTCGATAGTCCGCGTTCTCGTCGAACAACGCCTGCAAACCTCGCTCACGGGCGACAAGCGAGCCTTCCTAGACCGACAGATCGACCAGGAATTGGCTAACATGTGATTTTCTTTTTCTTGTAATATGCATTCTGCATCCCGCATCCTCGCCCATCTAGTACATTTATTTCCATTTTTTTTCGATATGGGTCTCGGCATCTCTGGAGTTTTTGAGGTTTGGGGTTTTCTTTTTCGAGCACAGCATCCAGCGTCTTGACCTTTGAGCTATTCCGCTCTCTAGTCTTCACTTAATGAGATTTATTCATCTAGCGCGCAGTGACAATAATATATGTTATGACGATGTTGGAATCGGCCCTGGTGTGTTTAAGCATTTTGTATTGTAGGACCGCGAACTTGAGCTTGACCGGATCTCGCTGTCCTGCATTCCAGGTTGCGCAAAACTTGAAGATATATCGAGTGCTTAGGTATTGACAGAGCGCTACATCTTCATCTCTCAACCTATAAATAGATAGAGCCTAATAATCTAGGTTATATATCGCGTAGGGAGGATATAAATGACAGTTCAGTGCTCAAAATTATAGATTAGAATTATACGCATCATGTCTTGAAGCGTCTATGGTCTCGAAGGTATCAGGTCATAGAATATCCCTCAAATCCACAATTTCCATTCCTAGACTTAACGATGCACTACATGCTTATACTGATCCAGTAGCTTCCTAAAACCCTTCGAGTGGTGAGACGTGAGGTGATGGTAGTAATGATCCTTTGCAGCATCCATAATTGCCTTCACCTTCTCTGCAGGAACCTTCTCCTTGCGATCGTAGGTGTACAGGCCATTTACCTCCTGTTCAATATCACATCTAGATAAAAAAAAAAGCATATTAGCAGAAGTCCCCAGATCCCAATGTCAAAGTCAAGAATGATACAACATACAACTGAGTCCAGACAAGCCCGCAAATATGTCCCGGCTTTACAACTGCCATAACCAGCTTCTCGAACCGCACCAAGAAGTCTGCCGGGTCACTTGCAGTCGTATACCCCCAGTCCCGCTCCCCGGGAGCAGCAGAGTCCTTGGGCGGTGCGATATTAACCCCGCCGAACTCAGTGCAGATCACCGGTGCACCAGGCGTATGTTGGGCACCTTTGTCGACGATCAGGGAGCCGGGGTGTCCAGAGTAGATTGGTTTGGTGAAGATATCGTGCCCACCTTTCGGTTCGAGGATCCCTGAGAGGTTGGCGCATGCTGCGCCCAGCTCAGCTGAGTCGCTGTAGTCGTGGAAGGTTGTTAGGTCTGTTTTGACGTGCTCCCAGCCGCAGTTGTCGTTGATTGGTCTGCTGGGATCGAGGTTCCTGTGTTTTTGTGTTAGCTGGTTCATCCTTTCCTCTTCGCAGCGTGGAAACATTGGAAAGGGCACTGGGTAGGCCATACTTGGTTAAGTAGTACAGAGCGCGAACATGATTGCGCTGCTCGATATTGTCCTTCAAGGCAGATACACCCCACGACTCATTAAGTGGCGTCCAGGTGACCACCGATGGGTGGTTGATATCCCTCTTCACGGCTTCGGTCCATTCGCTGGTGAACCGCTCCATGTAGTCGGCATCGAACTCGTAGGCATTTGCCATTTCGCCCCAGACGAGGAAACCCATCCGGTCCGCCCAGTAGTAGAAGCGTGAATCTTCAACTTTCTGGTGCTTGCGACATCCATTGAAACCGAGTTTCTGCGCCAGCTCGATGTCCGTCTTCAAAGCCTCTGAAGAAGGAGGTGTCATCCCCGTTTTGGGCCAGTACCCCTGGTCCAGGAATAGCATCTGGAAATACGGCTTTCCGTTCAGCCGGAATGTTCCATCACCGGTTTGCCAGGATAGACTGCGCATGCCGGTTGTAGTCTGGACTTCATCAACAACACTGCCGGCCCCATCAAACAGGCGAAGCGTAATGTCATAGAGAACAGGATGTTCCGGAGCCCAGAGGGCAACACCCCGACCCCAGACTCCATCAACACCAAACAGCTCCTGGTTCTTTGCCTTCAAATTCGCCGCCCCAGTATCAGGAACCTTCATACTCAAATCAAGCGCAGCAAACCTTTTATCCCGCGGAACCTCGCCGTTCACCTTCGCAACACTCAATCCCCCAAGCGATACCTCAACCTCAACCGTCGCCGCACTTCCAGCCCGACGTCCGGCAATATGAACCTTTGCATGCAACTGGCCGTTCTCAATATCATCAGAACGAAGCACCGTCCCTCCACTTCCACATAACAACCGCATAGCCGGAACGCTCTCTAACCAAACCGATAGCCAGATACCACCGCTAGGCGTGTAAAAGATACTCTCCGGGACAGGACCCCAGAACTGCTTACCACGCGGCTGGGTCAAGTCATAAGGCGAGTCCCTAACGCGGAGAGTAAGACGAGCTTCCGTAGCGCTGTCGGCCAGAGCATCCGAGATATCTATATCGAATGGCACATGTCCGCCACGGTGTCCGCCGACAAGGACACCGTCCACCCAGACAGAGCACTCGTAATCGACGGCGCCGAAGCGGAGGAGGAGTCTATTTCCTTTTTGCTTTTCATCGACTGTGCGGATGTCCGTGATGCGTCGCTCGTACCACATTACTTCGTGCGCTTCGATGAGGTTTACCCCCGAGGCTGGGGTTTGGAAGGCATATGGAACTGTTATCTGGTGGGAGGGTTTTCCTTCAAGGCTCGTTTTGTGCCATTTCGAGCTTAGGCCTTCGTCTTTGTCGTCGAAGGTGAAGGTCCAGGGGCCGTCTAGGGTGTTCCAGTTTAGAGAAGTGCGTTGGAAGTCCGGACGGGGGTAGGATGCTGTCATTCTGGGAGTTTAACTGTGTTCAATTGGGCTTTGGTCTTTGGTCTCTTATTAACTTGAGAGAAGTAGCGGTGTCCTTCGACCCCGCGTCTAACGTCACTGGCCGCGGGATGCATACCGAGAGAAGTATAAGAACATTCTAAGGTCACAGCAATCTAAGTCATCGCAAGATATTCCAAAAGCAACTTAGATTGGAGAATATCTAATGGCAAAATCTCATTGATGATTGGGGATATCAAAAGAGTAAAAAACATCGACATAAAAAGACCCAACTTATCGGAAAACTCCTCTGTTGATACCAGTTGGTATCAATTCAGACTATCCAATCCCATCCTTTCCTCCGAATGCGCACGAAATAAATAAATAAAAGACAAAAAGAGGCAGGATATGGTCACTCCCTGCTCTATCGCAGATCTTGGATATCTCGTTTTCTTTTCTGACGCCTTCATTGCTTGCGTTCCGTGGTATCAATCAACAAGAAGACCAACAAAAAAGACCGAAAAACACGCTGGGAATGAGAATAAAAGGTGAAAAAAAACAAGACAAAAACAACTCAACCAAAAAAAGGGTATACTGCTGCAAATGGATATTTTGGTTTTAACGCGGTGGCCCAATTGGGGCCGGGTATCCAGAAGTAGAATTGGAAGTACTAGGACGACCACTATCAAAAGAGGTGCGCGGGTCATGCTTTGGTGTCATGTCACCCGGCGCGGTGCCGAAGGGAAACTTGGCGTCGAAACGCGTGGGCCAGCCATTGCTGGTACTGCTCTTGTGGCTGTGAGAGCTCCCCAGGACGGGCAAGTCGTCTTCGGGGAGGTTCACGCCAGAGTCGTTCCATGGGTTGCGGTAGCCGCTGTCACGCGACTCCATGGAGACAAGTGAGGCCTTGGAGGCGTTGCTCGAGGCGTGTTTAAAGAACGATCCCGGCGAGGCGGAGTGATTCTTGCGGCCGATGAAAGAGGAGAATGACGAGATGCTTCCGGGCTTGCGGAGGCGCTCGAATATCGAGCCTCGGTCGCTACTCTCATCGGAGAAGTTCGGCCGGGTAGGCGAGTCAGTCGAGAGGGGTATTGGAGCGTGCTGCAGTAGCTTCGAGTCGAAGAACGGCAGGGACTCTTCGAAAGAATCGGATTTAGGGCGCGGGATAGCACCCTTGACGGTGTTCGCGTCGAGTCCATGCGCAACCAGGCGGGAAATCAGGAAGTCAATTGCGTCCTTCAAGCCACCGGCATTATTGCGAGTGTATCCAAGGACCACGCGGTCTTCAGGCCCGGGGGTGGGAGACGAGGAGCCTTCCTCGTGGGTAGTAGGCAGATCAGTACCGACATCCACGTTGATATCAACCTCGTACTGTTCCTTGAGTTTAGTCCGAACATCGGCGAGGAAATCGGAGCACTTGAAATACTCCTGGAGTTCGGCCGAGCTCTGGAAGTGCAGCTCGTGGCTCTCTGGTACCATGCCAAGCAATGCGTCGACCGCTTGGGGGACCTGATACTCAGGGCCGGAGATGGTGACAACGTCACTAGCAAGTTCAGTGCTTGGGAACTCGATCTTGCAGTTCCACTTCTTCTCCAGATCTTCGATCTCGGTCATACGGGCCAATAGCTCACGATGGTATAGTCGGTTAATAACGACTCTCTCGGCCACGTATTCGGCATCCTGCAAAATTGTAAGCTGCTATTATGAGATCAAAACTGTGGGCGCCGTAAGCACTTACGACTTTCTCAACCATGTCCATAATCTCCTGTTTGACAAGGTCCAGGCTCTGAGCGTTGCGAGCAGGGGTCCGACAGATCACATTGTCAACCTTGATATCGTCATCCTCCTTGCCCATGCCGCCGCGGTCCATGGCATTAGAGAACTTCACAAAGACAGAGTACTTCTTCATGATGCGCTGGATATGCTGTCCACCGATTCCGATGATCCGCTTGTGATACTGGTCAGGCACATGGAACGAAATCGATGCAGGCATCTCCTGCTCGACCAAGTCCAGGCCATTCTTGGTCGACTCATACTGGTTGCCGCACACGTCGATATAGAAGTTATACTCGTTGAAACCATCGAATATAATCTGGACATTGCCTGCGTGCGAGTCAGTGTCTCGTGTCACAGGTAGATCTTTGGTAAAACTCACTCTGCCCCATGATCTTGTTGATCTTTCCGTTTTTCTTGCCACTAACAAACTCCTTGTGCTCGTTGGCTAGCTCAATCTTCACCCGCATCTGGTATTGGCTTCGCATCACGAAAGGAATCTGGTTGATCACTGTCATGGCAGCC